TATTTATTTGTTGTATTTAATGTATTTATTTATTGCATTTATTTTATTTTTTTATTTATTTTTTTATTTATTGTATTTCTGGTATATATCTATTGCATTTATTTATTTATTGCATTTATTTTATTTTTTTTTTATTTTTTTTTTTATTTCTGGTATGTATTTATTGCATTTATTTATTGTATTTATTTATTGTATGTATTTATTGTATTTATTCATTATATTTTTACATTGTCTTTTTTTATTGTATATTTATTTATTTTATTTATTGTATTTATTTATTTATTTATTGTATTTATTTAATTTATTGTATTTATTTAATTTATTAAATACATATCATAAAAACAATAAATACAAGAAATAAATACTAAATATATTTAATACAATAAATGAATACAGTAAATAAATACCATAAGTTAAATGAATTTAATGAATACAACAAATAAATACAATAAATACAACAAATAAAGACAATAACTATTTGTATTTAATTTATTGTATTTATTTAGTTATTGTCTTTATTTGTTGTATTTCTGGTATATATTTATTGCATTTATTTATTTAATTGCATTTATTTTTTGTTTTTTGAATTTTTTTTTTTTGTATTTCTGGTATATATTTATTGCATTTATTTATTGTATTTATTTATTGTATTTATTCATTATATTTTTACATTGTCTTTTTTTATTGTATATTTATTTATTTTATTTATTGTATTTATTCATTTATTTATTGTATTTATTTAATTTATTGTATTTATTTAGTTATTGTCTTTATTTGTTGTATTTATTGTATTCATTTATTGTATTCATTGTATTTAATGTACTTATTGCATTTATTTAATTTATAGTATTTATTTAGTTATTGTCTTTATTTGTTGTATTTATTGTATTTATTTGTTGTATTCATTAAATTCATTTAACTTATGGTATTTATTTACTGTATTCATTTATTGTATTAAATATATTTAGTATTTATTTCTTGTATTTATTGTTTTTATGATATGTATTGATTCATTTATCATATTTTTTACTATTATTTTTTACTTATTTATTCATCTATTATTTATCATATTAACTGTATTTCTTTTTTGTATTTTTTTATTTATTGTATTTATTGTATTTTTATATTTATTGCATTTGTGGTATTTTTTATAGTTATTGTATATATTTTTTGTATTTTTTATCTGTGACTTTCCTAAAATTTCATTAAAGCAATGACGTCACGACACTTTACGTCAAACACTTAGTGTCCGACCACAAAACAGTACCCCGGCAACATGGTTACAATGTTGTCGACGTACATTCGTAGATTCCAAGGACACGGTCTCGCCACGCACAAGAGCAGGGGTGAAGCATCAAAATCAAGATCAGCGAGGAGATCAATCCACCGGTTTAATAGGTCCGCCGTTCCATCTATAGCTTCACATAGAAGTCTAGCGATAAGCAAACACATCAGGGGTCCAGTTTATCCACAAGTCAAGACACCGAATCAGGACATCGGAGAAGCAATGGAACAGTCTGAAATACCTACAGTTCCTCCCAGATTGCCTCCAATTAATCAAGGAAATAGAAACATGGTAGATATCAATCGGGAGCCATCTCCGTTGATCTTTGAGGAAAGAAATTCTCCAAACTTGAGAGAGCATCATCAATTTTATACTGCTTATGAAGATACCGATGACATGCCACGTGAAGGCTTAGAATCAAGTTGGTCTTATAACAGAGCTGATCTGTGGGTGTACAGTCCAGACGAGTCGTTCGAAGAAGACGACGAAGGATGCTTTTTGAGGGTTAGCCAATCAACACAAACTAGATTCGGTTTACCGCCGCTGAATAGGGACAAACATCAACAGCAATCGAGATCTAAATCCATAGATAAAATCCCGTATCACAGCATCTACCGATCATCTTCCGGGTATTCAACAAAAGCACATTATGGATCTGTTTGTCAGGACACTGAGGAATGGGATGGCGAATTTGATCCGGAAGCTATCAGATACTTCCGGTCTCTGACACCAGTGGAAATCGAATGGATGCCTCCACCTGAAACGGGTGATTTTAGCCCGATCTCTGATACCGGATCTGATCTAGCCAGCGTTTATCTACCATCATTAGTAACAGGTGGAAGACGCCCTAGGCCTTTGACACCATTCCCGGATAGCATAAGAGAAGAACATACTGAAGTGACACATTTCAGACATACTAAAACACCACAGCAGACGTGGAGAACTGAGTGGGACTCTCCAGAGGTTGATACGACGAAAAACATGTCGAGAAGCCTGAAGAAAAGACACAGGAAGATTTCCGATGCTAACAGAGACCTGAAATCCTCAGCTGAACACTTCCAAAGTGCACAAGGGATGCATGCAGAAGACAGAAAAGAGCTATGGAACACAAGCGGATCTTCGAGCACAGAAGACTCCGATAAAGAATTGGAACATTCTTACCAAAAAGATTCTGACCAATACTTTGAAGACTATTATGAAGAATGGGAAGACTCGGACCAAGATTGCGATAATGAATTGCGGGACTCTGGCCAGGATCTGGTAAACTCGGACCAAAACCTGGACTCGGATCATGACTTGGCCATGAGGTACCTGGATTGTGGATCTAAAGTCACAGATCAAGACTTGGGAATTACGGACCGCATCATAGACAGTGCAGACCTAGATTCGAAAGAACCGAATCAAGTCACGAATGTAGACCAATGTCGAAATGATACCGAAAAAAATCTAGGGTCTTTGAAAGATCAATGGGAAGAAGCCGAAGGAGGCATGACAAGTGGAATGAAATCAAAAACCAAGTCATTCTTTGACAGTAAATTTAAAGCCTATTCGACAAGACAAGCTGCTGAAGACGAAGCTCAAGATGCCAAGGACGATCCACAGGACGAAGGTAAAGTCACGGCTTGTTTCATGCTTTCATTTGATATGTTTATGTATCTTAACGAATGTTAAAAGCTGGGAATGTTTTGGAGTTTTACGGCCTATCATTCTGCCTCTAGTAGTTATTACTTTGTTGATTTTTCTTATGGACTTCAGCATTCCGGGTTTGGTAACTGTATTCGAGACTTTTCATAATAACTTAGCTTGATCTTGCTGTTGAATTTATATCATTTTATTGTATTTTTCAGCTGGTGCAAGTGATGGCAATTTAAAAAGAAAACAGAAACTCGAATTGGAACTCAGCGAAGCTGAGCTGGATATAAAAAGGTATGTTGTATTCTACTAAACATTGGGAATGAATATTAAGGTTTTCGTTTCTTGCTCTGGTCGGGTTGTTTTAATTGTGTACGAACCGGGTTTCCATTTTACTCTTAGGGGATAAATATAGCTGGAATCGAGCCTTAATTATCAGCTGGTAAAGCAAAACCACTTTAATTTTTTTAAGGGAGCTTCTCGTTAAATGCTACTGCACTAGTATTTCTCGAGCAATCATCTCCATTCTTTTGCTCAATGCATTCATTTACCATCGAACGCTGTGTTGGATGTGCATTCTGAAAAGTATTACGGACAGCTGAAAGTTTATGTAAAATTGGGGTTGATTCTATTCCTTCGATCATCTTGCAGTGAGTTAACGGAAGCGTGGAAGAACTATGAACACGAACAAAACCGATATTTCAAGACGATGGCGAGAGTCAGAGAAGAGCAGGAAATAGCCAATCACTGGCGACTGGACGCTCTTCAATACCGACTGAGCTATGTTATGTTGAAAGCAGAGCTTGATGAAAAGAAGGAAGAGGCTCGGACTACTGGTTCACCTCCATGACATATTTTGAAAACGTCAGTTATTGAATGGAGTTTCACCTTATTTCTATGAGTTCCAAAACTAAACGAAGACACTGTATATTCGAGTTTTATTTTGGAACTCATAGAAATAAGGTGAAACTTTCAATTGTTCTAGGCTGTCCTTTTTTGCCTACTAATAACAGTCCAGCATAGTTATTTCTGCTTACCCGGGTCCGATTAAAACCGTTAACACGAGTCCAGTCCACTTTGTTTTTAGGTAGAATTAATTGTAATAGAGACTATACAGTCTAAACGTATTGTGTTGATTACTAGTAAAATTACCTACAAATAAAATGGACTGATCGTGTTCCTGCAGAATCTGTGGTTGACTTCACTCATTGATTCAATCTTGTTGAGGGATCTTGGGGGATTTAGACAAGACCAGTCTGCGGATAATCTTTCGAACTGATCGTATTGATCGAATAGACGAGGTACGGAGTCCGGTGCGGGGTTATCGATACGGCAGAAAATAGTAGAAGCGAATCGTGTCCGGACCCGTACGTACCTCGTGTGCTCACGAGTACACCGCAACGGACGCCGTACATAGTCTATTCCCTCCTTAAGACAATTGGATAAATCAGCGTAGCCGTGATATGCTAAAAATAGAACACATGCATGACTTGAGTAGGACAATTGGTAGGACAAACCACTCTTACAACTGTTAAAAGTTGTGCATCATTTGATACGCAAATCACCTCAAGGCCGATGTCTCCTATTCACTTACCGTTCAACACGCCATGTTACATATTCCGCCTTATCAACTTTCTTTTCTGTTTGCAAAGGTGAGGTCATTTCCGTGATGGAAGGGTCCATTCGATTGTTAGGGGTGTACAGTGTTCTGGCTGAAATGCTCGGTCGTGAAAATCTTTGAAGGGGAGAGGAGGGTATATATCGTCACATAGCCTGTCATCGGTCATCACCTGTTTAACGACATCGACCATGCACCCTTCCCCTTTAGTAAGGGTCCTGGTATTCTCGAAACGATCTGAGGGCTAGGATGTCCTAGAATCAATGTTAGAAGATAAGAACTTAGGACATCCTTGCACTAGGATCGTTTTGAGAATACGTAACCTGGGCCTCGTTCTTCCAAAAATCGTAAAATAAGGATTTGTCGAAGCTTGAGTGTGGACTTAAACATTGTGAAATAACAAACTAACGACAAAACTGATCTAAAGCTTTTTGAGAGAAGGTACCCCGAGTCTTCCGCTCATTCAAAAAAAAGCAAATGATTTTAAAAATACTTTAATTTGTGACAGTCTAACTCATATACATATATATCTGAATTATATACATATTACATTATATCATCACACTTTTTATACAGAGAAAATCATCCCTAAGTTGAAAATGAACTCTTCTAAGCATGCATTGCTGTGAATCGTTTACAATTGAAATATGCACGAGTGAAACAGTTCAAATATATTGAAGGGTGTCAGGTAGTTTTTGTATTTGTCACACGTTATTTACACCAGAAAAACATTCCCCTTCAGTTCGAAACTGAACTCCCCATGCATGCAATACAGTGAATTGTTTTTATAAGGAATTTGCACGTACGGAACAGTTCAAAAAAGGCTGAGGGGAGCCAAGTGCTATATTTTTTACATCTTATATTTCTATCACTCCTTTTGAACATCGTGAACCATTTACATTAGAATTTTGCGTTTGTAGACTGGATCAAAACAGGTAGAGGGTTGTCCAGTAGTTCATTTGGGAACTGGCCATCTTCATAATGGTCAAGGTATTACTCTTCATCCTATACCTTGACTACAATAGCCACAAGGTTCGTAATACCTTAACCATTGTGAAGATGGGGACATACACAGAGATCAGAGAACAAAAATCAAGATAAAATGATATTAAAATTAGCTTAGGACGGAATGTTCAGAATTTAATAATAAAAGAAAAAGTATCACAGTTAAATTAAAAAATGCTTAAAAAATACAAACAAAAGGACGGATTAGACATGTTTAAAAGAGTGATTATGGACGTTTTTTTACCACTCTGTTGCAGTTTCTGACAAAATCTTATCAGCTGATTCTGACTGATATTTAAGCACATAAATAGCATCCAATGCTTCCAAAAAATTCCCCAAAAAATGTTAGGGCCATTGCCACTTACTTATAAGCTTGCTAATTTGGCTACAGAACATATTTTTTGAGAATTTGAAGATCAAAAAAATTTGGGCATATAAAAATAAAGAGCTATGTACAATTAATTAAATAATAAAACAATAGAAAATAAATAAGCTATCACAGCATGTTTTTGAGCTCAATATACAATTTGACTCAGAATTCTATTTAGTCCACTTTCAGGAGAACATAACTGCTTGTATACTGGACATAGGCTTAGGCACAACATAGCACATAGACATAGCATAGGACCTAACATAGCACATAGGCATAGCTTAGGACCTAACAAAACACATAGGCATAGCTTTGTCTCAAACCAGGCTTATGTCTATGCCAGGTATCACATTGGACATAGCACATTGGCATAGTTTAGTACCTAACATAGCACATAGGCATAGCTTAGGACTTAACATAACACATGGGCATAGCTTTTGTCTCAAACCAGGCCTATGTCTATGCCAGGTACCACATTGGATATAGATTAACAAAAATTGACAGTAGTGTGTATCAAAAATTAAAAATAATTTTCTTGATGATCTATTTTCTTTAAAAAGATAAAATAAATGCAGGACATAGCTTAACAAATTTTAAAAAAAAATTAACACTTATTTAAAATCAGATTCTTACAAATATTTATAATTTGTGCAATGTCTCCCATCAAATCTTACTATATACTCTTTTAGTAGGACTTCAACCCATTTTGCAAAGATTTTTCTTACAAAAATAAGACCAAAAAAACCCAAAACAACTAATAATATTAGACATAACATAAATGAAAATAAAACCACACCCACATTGGTGAAAAGGGGCGGAGCATAATGCTCCTCCCATTTGCCTCATTTTGTGCCCATAATGAAATTATCTTCTAAAAAAAGTGAATGATACTTTAAACTTATGAATATGCATTAGTATGTATAAATATTTATATATAAATTTATAAACCAAACCAAAAATCATTTTTTTAACTGAAGAATTTTTCCAATTCACTCCAAAACCATCTGTCACTATTCATCGAACTTGTCCTCATCCTAAAAAAAAGGAGTAAAAATCATTAATTTAATATGCTATAGTTTAAAAAAAAGATTGGACTGTCCTATTTTTCATAAAAAACAAATGAAATGATGCATGAAGCTATGCCAACATAGGCTATTTCAAGTCAGGTTTTAATTATTTACTTTGCATTTTTAGCCATAAGACCTATTATATTGGAAAATTTAACCTTTATTTATAAAACAAGCTGTCCTGAGGAGTATTTTGTATGTGAAAAATGTGTCAGAAGTAGAGATGAGCTCTAGTCAAATAGATTACTTCAAATTTTTTTGATTTTTTCAGTTGACCAACCTCCTGTATGTGTTAAGTATTTATATATTAGTAAATATGGATACAATGAAGATATTTAAAGGGTTGGCATATATGGGCATTATCAAGCCATGCACTGTTCAGAGTCATCGTCATATTAAAGCTACCATGTCCAAAACACTATGACATCAACTGATATTTAGTTACATAAAAATATGTTATAAAATAAGTAAATATGGGTTGGTAATGTATTGGTTAGTAATGGAATACCATAAATATGGAAGCTACATATCAAAAAGTTAGATAAATTCAAAAATGTTAAGACACTTAGGGTACATCAAATTCATAAAAAGGGGTTAACATTAAAGCTACCATGATACCATCATAATAAAATACAGCCAATATAAAATTTTGTATGCTAATATTAAAGCTAACATGAAGTTTATAATGAGAAAAGGGTAACATGAATATATTTTAATATTTGAGCATAAAAAAATATAGTTTAATTAAAAAAACAACATGCAAACATAACAATTTTCAACATGCAATTGAAGGCACAGTGTCCATGCACTTGGTCCATGTGCCATGCAAACTCTATCTTAGTGGATGGCCAATGTAGAATCAAAATGTAAAATTTCAAATACCATTAAAGGGAAGTAACTCCAATGAATGAAGACGTTTTCAAGCAATTATAAATTGCACTTTATGAAAACGTGTAATAAAAGTGAATCTTTGCAAATCAACGACCATGTATATTTGAGATACATGTACTTATAAGCTAAACTTTTATCAGAACACAATGTTCAGATGTGACTTGGAAAGAAATAGAACATTTTTCAAAACAAATTTGATTCTAGAGCTATCTTCTTTAAACCAAAAAGATCTAGATAAATTTTCTATTTTCTTACATCAAAAGGAACTGCCAATTTTCAACAAAGATAGTGTAAAATCATGTGACTCTCCGAAGAAAAAGGACACCATATATCAATATAAAATTTCACATTCAAATATGTCGATAAAAAGAGTAATAACAGGTCAATTTTACAGAAGAGAAAATTTGGTCTAAGCTAGTACATTCCACACAAATCAGTATCTTACCAGACGGCAAATCTAAAATAGCTTAAAATCTTCAAATATTTTCATAGTTAGAGAGGGCTTGTTCTTCGGTGGTGGAATAAAGCTTCTGAGCTTGGCGTCTGGCTAATTCTTTCCGTGCCAAAACTCCACGCATGCCCGATTGAATCTTCACCGCGGCTTTATGATGCTCTTCGTTGTAATTTTCAAAAGAGTCTTCCCTGTTTTCTGAATACTCACTTTTTCTTTGCAGCGCTAATTCTTTTCGAGCTCTGAAACCACGGAAACCAGATTGAATTTTTGCTGCGGCTTGATGTTCTTCCTCAGTGTAGAAGTCTTCAGCCTCCTTCTCAAGTACGTCTCGCCGCGTTCTGTAACCACGGAAACCAGCTTGGATTTTAGTTGCAGCTTTTTCCTCTTCCTCAGAATATTTCTTTTCGATTTTGTCCTCAAGTTCGCTCTTGGCTTTTTTCATATCGCTGCGAGCCTTCTTGCCTCTAAATCCTGCCTGAATTTTAGTGGCCGCCTTCTCTTCAGACATGGAACCAATTGGTGTATCTTGCCTCTGTTTGAGGTTTTTTCTAGTTTTGTATCCACGGAAACCAGCTTGAATTGTTGTGGCTGCCTGAAAAATTGATAAATAAAAAATACAATACACTGTAGAGAATGAATGTATGGTTATGGCCAATATAATTTAACGACCTGTGCCTTTTAGATCCCAAATTTTATAATTTTAGATGGTTTGCCTGCTCGTTCTTTTTCAGGCTTTGGGCAGCACTTGTGAGTGTTTCAGTTCATTCAGAACTAAATAGGTTTGATCAGTGGTCTTTATTAAATTTTTCCGATCTGTTAAAAGAATTTGGAAGAGTTCTCACCTTGACTTCTCGTTCATTATTATCTTTCTTTGACTTGGAGTCTTTTTTATTATCAGGCGTCTTGGATGTTTTCTTCAAACCATTTTTAGGTGGGGGAGTTTTATTTGCAGGCTTCTTTTCTTGGGATGGTTGGGTGGATTTGGGAGTGTGCCGGGTAGCTTTCGTGACTGGTTTAGGTTGGTTTTTGATGTTGTTGTTTGTTCGAGTTGATTTCGTTTTAGGTTGCGTTGGCGGTGTGGGTGATCGTGACACGTAACCATTTTGCCGATTCAAAATTCCTTCTTCGGTGAGTTGTCTCCGTGTCTGGTAGCCTCGAAATTGGGATTGGATTTTGATTGCTGCTTCTTCTTCCCAGTTCTTGCCCTGATTTTGGAAATGATTATTGAATGAGGACATGATTTTATCAATCAAGTGAGAAAGTGCAGACGGTAAAGTGAGAGTTGCTTTAAAGATCAGAGCATGAAAAGAAATTGTGGTGGAGTGCAGAGTGCAATTGTGTTGGGAGCACAAGTGAATGCAGAGTGTAAGTGATTGCAGAGATGCAAGGGCTTGCAGAGTGCTAAGTGTAGTGCAAAGAATTCTTGCAGAGAAATTGCAGACACCATAGCAGTAAGAAGAACATATGAGAGTGCAAGATAATAGTTAAATACTTTTGAGGCAATTCTCTAAAATACCAATATTATTAGACAAATACAGCACAAAATGGTGTTACAGTGATTTTCCAAGCTAAGTCAAGTCATGTACAGACCCCAAATTGCACACTTGTGATATTCCGCCAAATTCTTTCAATACAATCAACACATGCAACACTTGGTCTAATCATTAATTTTCCAAGAGCAAAAAAACATTCAGAAAAATGTGGTCAATGATTGTGCAAATTGTGGTCCATTCACATTTGCCCAGATGAGTGAAAATACTAGCAACTTGGGTTTTTTTACTTCATGAGGGCTTGAAGTACCGGTATTCCAATTGTTTTTTATTTCGATGCTTAGACCATTTTGTTACACAGGAAAAATTTTTACCAAATTGCCATGTTATCTGAGACTTGCACTAGCTGGAATAGTTCCTTTTTTAATTTGGGGTTATGTCCCTTTATTCACACCAAACATCAAATGAAACACAGGAATTGTAAATGCTTTATTTCTATTTATTCTTTATCAATTTACAAATACAAACATGTTGTCATTTTCATTTACAAATTCAATGAAAATTCCTAAGAGCTTAAATGAAATTTTTAAGAATTTTTTAAATATAAATGCACAGAGCTGACTAAAACCTAAAGAAGACTAAAGCATGCTTATTATGACAGTCAAAGCTTCCAGAAAAAGCAGTCTAAAGTGAAGAATCTTGTGTCGAAAATGTGAAAATGGAGAAAATCACCACCCTTCCAAAAAAAAATAACCTATGTAGTAACTTAAAGTGTAGGTCTACTGAAGTAGTGCATGGCTTGAGTCCAAGTCTACCAGACTTATGACTTATAGTAGCTATGATCTACCAGTAAAGCGCATTGAAAAAAAAAGCGCCTAAATCTATATAGTGAATGTGTGAATCATGCAAAATGCAAAACATGCAAAAAATCATGCACAAAAATCTAAAGAAATCTAATGCAAAAATTAAAACAAATTAAAATCTTTCTCAAAAACATTGAATACCCCTTGTCAATAAGGGTCTATTAACAGTATGTCATCTCTTGTTCCTTGAAGAAGCTGAAGAGCAAGAATTCCAGGTATGCTTACCTTCCCAAAACACTTACATGATGCACTCTGTGAATATTTTCCCTTTTAAAGTCCACAAAGATAGTGGCTTCAAATATTTTCTGCTCTTTTATTCAATAACATCAAAAAGCCCGAAAACTTACCTGATCTCTGGCAGTGGTATGCTCCTGGTTACTATGGTTACTATTTCTACTCTTGCTGTTGGCCTTCTGCTGTCTCTGGGGAGGAGGATTGTTTCTGGGAGTTCTGCTGTTGTTGTTTTTGGATCTATTCCTGCCATCATCCTCCTACAAAAGACAACATCAAATTTTGGGTTGCCAATATGATGCATTTTGACAAGTGGTCTTTTAAGGACTCATTAGGGAATCCTTTTTTACCAGCTGGTACTTGGCAAAACCTCTTGGCATTGATCATATCAAGAACGCTCAAGTCCTACACCACTAGTGGATGATACACCCCAGGTTGGGAACCAGGGTCCTAAAGGGTGGTATTTGATATCAAGTTTTATTATTTATGACACCAATCAAAACAATGAACACATCTACATCTTCAAAGCAAACACATTTTTACCTCAGTCTCAATTTCCTCGGTTTTCTCATTCAACTCTTCAACATGCTCAGTTTTCTTTCAAAGATAAAACAGAAAAATAAAAGATAGACAGAGAAATAAAACAGAAATTGAATGAATAAAATAAGACACTTCCCTTGAGAATATGTATCACCAAAACAAATTACAAAACAAAAGAACAAAGATGGCTTTAGAAATTTGAAACAGAAGTTAACAGAATTAAATTACAGAAAATGAAAGAATTGAAAAAAAATCTTGAAGAGATAATGAAATTCCCCTTTCTTAACAAAATTAATGGCTGAAATCTCATCACTGTCATTCCAATTTTAGGGGATGATGAAAAAAGACAAAATAGCTATAGTATGGTACCTTCTTTCCTCTGAAGAATACAGATTTTAAACGGCTCATTAGTGGACCAGAATTGGAAGTTCCTGGTTTAAATTTATCTACTATTGGTCCTTTAGCCAGCTCTGACTGCATCTTGGCTCTGACTTCTTGCTCATAGTCTATCAGCTCGACAGACCCCATATCGAGCCAGACAAATCCATCAGAGATGCTGGCCTCAGAGACAATCTCAGAGCAGCTCAACTCAGAGTGTCCAGAACTAGCAGTGGTCTTGGATGCAGAGAAGGTCCCTACACGTGCTCCAGTGATGCCTTTGTCACTGCCAGATTGATGTGAACTACTCCCTTGTTCTGAGGAGCCAAAACTTTTAAGCTCAAAGGAGGTTATTCCAAGTGGATCCATATCTATCCTTGTCTGCCCAATCTTAGACTTAGCAAGAGCATCTTCCAGTTCGGGGCGAGAGTGCTTACTTTTGCTACCATCAGACTTTGAGCTCTTTGAAGACGTGCTGGCCTGGGGTTTTTGGATCTGAGCCTTTACCCTCAAAGAGTCAGGATCACTAGATCCTTTACCAGATTTGTGGCCATGAGCAAGAGGGGTAGATTCTTTTGAGTTCCGCTGTAAATCCAGTTTTTGTGGCTTAATTTTCCTCTCATCCTTATTGGTTGTCATCTTTGAATCTTTGGTAGCAGATTTCTGTGGCGGTAGTGTTTTATACATGGTACAAGCAAGATAATTTTGAGCTCTAATTTGGACAAATTTAGGTGTGGAAGTGTGTATTGTCTTCCTGGGGTGTTTTTGATCAAACTTGGCTGTTGTTGCAATAAATTTCTTTGCTCTTTTTGACACTGCAGGACTCTTCTTCAAAGCTTCAGGACCACAATGTACTCTTCTGGATGGTTTTCTGGTTGATACTCCATTCTGAAGAGCTATGGACTGAGTATGTGATCTATGCTGAACCCGGCCGACAGCAGCTCGAAAGGGAGTTCTGACAATAGGTACAGAACTTGTTGATTGTGTTCGTTTTTTGGTTCTTATTTCCTTCTGGTTTTGGAGTTGAGGGAGACTTTGATTGTTTGGTTTGCTTCCTGATGCTACATTTAACTCTTGGTTTGGTTGGGCTGATTCTTGGTTTGGATGGGCTGATTTGTGATTTGGTTGGGCTGATTCTTGGTTTGGTGGAACTGATCTATGATTTGGTCGGACTTGTTTTGGTGTTGGTTTAGATTGGCTTTGATTATTTTTGGAATTACCAGTTGTATCTGAAAGACCATCAGCTGTGCTGTTTTGCAAAGGATGATCCTCTAAAGATGCAGCATTAGCAACTTCTAGTGGTTGGATTTTGGCATCCAAATTTGGTACTCCTTGAGAATTGATAAGAATTTTCTTGTGGGATTCTTTGGGTGTGTTTGCCTTGGCAAATGAATTGGCTGTTTTGGGCCTGGATTCTTGCTCAGATGAACAATGTTTAACAGATTCAAGATCCTCCCATTCATCAATTTCATCTCTCCACGGAGGTTTAGAACTTGAAGCTTGTGATGGTGTCAAAGACTTTGATGATGCCAAAGATTTTGATGATGCCAAAGCTTTTAATGGTGCCAAAGCTTTTGATGATGCCAAAGCTTTTAATGGTGCCAAAGACTTTCGTTTGCCAGCTGTTGTTATGCGATGTACTTTTGTAGACAGAACTCTTTTCTGGACAATACATCTGGATGCAACTGCATTTTCAGACTGATCAGCATTTATCATCTCTTCTTCTGAATCGGAGTCCTTTGTCTCTCTGCCTCTACAAAGTCCTCTCCTTCTGGGTTTGGTTTTAGATGCTTTCTTTCCAGGTTTGTCATTTGATGATACATCTGGAGAAAAAGTCACTGACTTCTTAGAACTAAGAGAGGTGTTGGCTGATCTCAGACTTGGACGTCTGCTTAGCTCAGGTTCTTCATCATTGGTTGGATTTTGATTGACAGGCTTGTCCTCCTCTTGATCATTGGCTGATTTTTGAGCACCAGTCTTGTCCTTCGCTTTCTCATTGGTTGATTTATGATTGAAAGGCT